AGCAGACTTTTGCTAGACAGGTGACTATAGTTATTAACAGGATCCAGACTTTGCATCTCATTCCAAGACATAACTCACTCCTGATTTGCTTGGTACACCTCCTGCATGGTATTGAGAAAGGGGCTGTTTCCCTCAGGATACAGAAGGGTCAGACAAAGGCATAAAGTAAGAAAGGTGACAACCCTCTGCAAAGGGACAGCTTGTTTCTCACTACCACATGTGGTATGAACTTGCTGTATCCTGCATATCTGATATGGGAGGTAAGGGGGTGAGGTGACCACAAAGTGGGGAGGAAGACACTTGATGCGCAGAGGGGGAGAAGAGCACCTTCACAAAGGGCACTGCATTGGGGGTACTGAAAGATGCCAGCAAGACTGCAAACCTGCTTGTCTCTAGGCTTTGCACAAGCAGGAAATGAGACACACTTTCCCTGCCTCATTTTCTCACAGTGCATTTTCCATCTCCTCTTTACCTCCAGACAGTGAGACAATCCAGTAACTTCTTGCACTGGATCCCCCACCCTGACCATGATGAGCAGACAGCCCTTGTTGGACAATGGCTGCAGCACAGCAGGAGTTGCCAGGAGCACACGATAGCTGCCTGCATCCCTCCATCGGCTTTCCTTCCATTCCTGACAACAGGCCAGCACAGCCACAGGACATATAGAGATCTTGTTCAAAAGCAACAGCCAAATGAGCCTGACTGTTCAACACGATGACATTTCCCTGTCCAGCAGATGACAAGCTGTAGGTTTACAGTCAGTCCCACAAGGACTGCTTGATGTGGATAACCATGCCAAAAGCCAGGGTTTTGCCTTAAACTGCCTTTTTCAACATGTAGTCAGACTGAAGAATTCTGCAGAGAAAATAGGATTTAAGGCAGAGCCTGAGCTGATGACTTTCCAACACCCACAAATATCCTGTTGACACTTCAGGACGCACATTCAATTCAAAGTATCCCTGAAACAATTTTGGCAATTTACCTCATCACATACAAATACTCAGCTGAGAATAGTTATGAAAGCAAGTGAAAATACTCTTTTATTACCTCTCTTAGCATGTGCCACTACACCAAGCACATTACTAAGCTGTCAGTACCTAGACAGGGGACAGGCAGGAGGTCTCAAGAGGGTGGTGGAGGAAGCAGTTTGGGCTGGGGCTGCATAGGCAGCAGCCACAAGCTTTACCGAATCCAGCTGTAGGCTGCTGCCAAAGAACAGTGTCAGGTTCTCGGAACCCTTTCTTAGCACCCTCTCCCTCGGGTCAGCTCAGACACCTGTCGTGGTTTAAACCCAGTCAGGTAGCTTGTTCACTCACTCCCAGTGAGTGGTGCCGAGCTGACAACAATCGAGGTCCGTGTCCGTCTCCCCCCCCGCCTCCCCGCACCGGGGCTCTCCCCTTCCCCACTCCCGGAGGAACGGGGAGGAGGATCGAGAGAGTGCAACTCCTACGGGTTGAGACAAAAACAGTCCAGCAACAAATCACCACCGCTACTATCAGCTAAAACAATGATAAGGGAAAATAACAAGGGAAGAGAATACGATACCACCGGCCAAGAAAACGAGTTCCACCCGGAAGCCCCTGTCCTTACGGGTAACTCCCAGTTACCCCTCACCCCGGGCATGACGTGCTGTGGTATGGAATACCTCCCCGGCTAGCCCGGGTCAGGCGCCCCGTCTCTGCTTCCTCACAGCCTCCCCTCCTCCCTGGCAGAGCATGAGCCTCACAAAGTCCTTGGCCAAACCAAAATATCCTTGTTATCAGCTCTGTTCCCGAGCTGAAAGTCAAAACACTGCACTGCACCAGTTAACACAAAGGAAAAACATGACTGCTACTGCGGAACCCAGGACAACACCCCATAGACAGGGACAGATCGGAGCAGCTCACCAATCCAGCCCGGGACAACCCTCCCTCTCCCCTTCCCTCCCCTGCAGGCTCCGCATTCTGCAAGATCAGTGCGCCCATGTGGCTGCAACGTGCTGGCAGGAGCACTTGGAAGTGGCAGGGAGCTTCCCTGCAGCTGTGCAACTGCGGTTAGGGCAGATGCAGAGAGCTCCTCTGCGGCGCTGTCATCTCCAGTCGCACTAAACCAACTGCGGAAGGGCGTTTTCCTCCTCGATACAGATACGCTGAAGCCTGCCGGAAGAGAGGGGAGGAAGGAGAAGGTGAGGCAGCAAAGCAAAGCACCCGGCACAGCGCTGCTCAGAGCCATTCATACCAGCATGGGCAGACAGCTGTCAGTCCCTTAGACCTGCTGGCTTGCACGCTGCTCGGCTTCTCCAGAGCCTCTTCAATGCTCAGACCCTACACATGCCCTCCATCACCTATTTATTTGCCCCAGACTGAAGGCTCCTACTGAAGCAGGGCAGTGAGATGCGGGAGAGCTGTCAGGGACTGCCAGCATGAGCATGGTTAGGGAACACTCAAACTAACCCACAAACAGAATGAAGACAGGGTAGTGTTCCTCCTCCTGTTAGTCACTTGACCTCAGTTTCAAATACACTGTTCAAATTTTCAATCCATTTTCAATTCCTCACCCTCTTTTGTTTTTTGGGGGAGAGTGGGTATGAGTGGGAGGAGGCAATAGGGGAGAACACCAAAATTACCAGTGTCCTCATATAAGCATTTACTCACTGGACAATTGAGCTCATCTAATTAAGGAGCATTAAACCATGTCCTTATTAAGGAGCATTAAACCATCCCCTCTGTTCCCTCTACCTTGTTAGACTCCAGGCTCAACACTTCTGTTCTCCATGTGCACCACAGAACACTTCACTACTGCTTCCAGGGCATGCCAGACACCAGCACCAAGGGAGTGAACACATAAGCAAAGACTTCAGCTGCAGTATGTGTGAACTGCTACACCAACCAATGCATTTCTCCTTGCTCCCTTTCATTAGCATTGTGTAAGACCCTCCCAGGTACAGACTTCTCCCTATCCTGTTATCACTTTGACCCATCAGCCTGCAGTTGTTCCTGCCAGCCCTCAATGTGCTTGCTCAGCTGAAGCTCAGCATTCACCCACATGTATGACCTGAACTAAAAAAGCAGGATCAAGCCCACCAGGGTTTATCAAAACCTCAACAACTCACACAAACCAACTTTCTCCTTTAAAGAACCCCAGTTTTCTGGGTTTCAGCTGCTCCCAGAGTATGAGTCACAGCGGCAGTCTTTGTGCTGCTACAACAAATATCCACAGAGCAGCTGGTACATATGTTCCCTAGGCATAAAGGCACAAGCTTACTGCTGATCCTACAAGGGACACATCTGCCAACATTCACAGCATGCTGCAACATGTTACTACAGAATATACCTGCAAATAGTGACACTTGAAACTGGCAAATTCTTACAAATTAGGAAAAACCCACCCACAACAGATTCCCCAGCACTGCTCCTGGAGTTGCTGATCACCCATGCAGTTCCCCTGACCACTGAAAACCCTGCTCAGAGCTTCAGGACAAGCTTGTTTCTTACTCTGAATACATCTTATTTCCCAATCTCTAATGCATACCACAGAAACTCTGAAGGCAGTGTTTCCTGCGCTCAGTGAGTATGTTAACTGAGCCCTCCCATTCAGCTTCTGCACAGACAGAAGCAAACTCTTACTGTCCTCAGCTGCTGAGAAGCATCATGCCAGATTCCAGACCCTGCAAAAGATGGATGACCATTAGCTTTCTTACCAGTCCCACAAGGGATGGAAGGATGCAGAAAGCACTGTGTTCAGCTTCCCTTAGGCACAACAGCTTGTAGAAATGATGCCGCTGTAGTTCACAGAAAGATTTTCCCTAGTAGGGGAGAGTACTGCTCTGTTAGCTACCTTCGGTTATCAGCCCAGGTCTGTCTCACTACAAGCCTCTTGCAGATGCTTGCAAGGAGCCCTGCAACTCCACCTTCCCATGCAGAGTGCACTAATACCATGCCAAAAACACTCTGAATCCCCGTGTTTAAACTGGCAACCAAGGCAATCCATGACTCCATCCTCAGCAAGGCTCATATCATATGCCACTAAGAAGCAGCTCCCACACGTGAAGGCAGCGCACAAAGGCAGAGATAAGTGTCCCCTCAAAGGCCACAAGTGGGGGCTGGCTCACCCACAGACCCTCTTCTTCCGAAGCTTCTTTATCCCTCCTCTGCCGGGAGCTCTTGCACCCCTACACGACAGCCCTCACCCCACGATTGAGCTGGGGACAACCTGCTCCCGAGGACTGCCTAGGTCCTGCAGTCACCCAGCTCACCTGCAGCCCACAGCGCCGTATTTGCATGCTCCAGGATCATCTTTCAAAGGCATCTTGGCCTTTTCCACCCAGCACAAAACAAGAAAGACAAGGGAACTTAATCACTAGTGTGACTACAAAATGCATTCACTCATATCAAGAAGTTACTTTTGTTCTATGAAGAAGCAACAACAGTTCAGGAGATGACCAACGGGCTTGGTTAACCTCAGCAGGGACACAGGGCTCTCCTTGCCCCAGAATCCCATCCTTGGGAAGGTGACGACCCATGACAGCTTTTCAAGCTCTCAAGGGCAGAAACAAAGCCAGGATTCCACTCTTACTCCAAACTAACACACGGATTTTACTGAACGGGGCACTAAATGTTACTCCACCAGCCACACTCATGTCTGTAAGAGTTACCGCACAACGGTAACTTCGTTGACATCGTTACAGGACGATGTCAAACGCCACAGCCTCAGGGGTGTAGGTTACCAGTAAGCTCAAGAGCAAGAGAGACAGCTCCTGCAACACCTCAGACAAGCCTCCCATCGGCACGTGGACGGGAAAGCACCACGTCCCGGCATTTTCTGCCTAGTCTGTGAAGACTAGATAGAAAAGATCACACACCAGGAACGAGCTATGGCGCAAGTCCTTCCGACACCAGCTGGACAGTTAGAACTGCGGCGATACGGCCTTCCAGCAGGTGCCTGGCCAGGAGCAAGTCCGGGCACCACACGCGGCTCCACACCCTGCGCCCCCCAGCCCCTCACCGCCTTTCCTCACTCACCGAAGTACTCCTTCTTCATGTGAATCTCCAGCTCCTTCTCCAGCTCCAGCGTCAGCGCCTCCAGCCGCCTCTCCGCCTGGCTGGGGCCGCTCTCCCGGCACGGCGTCACCTGGTAGGGGAGCTTGAATTTGGGTGCCGAAACGGAGCCTTTGGTCGGGCTGTAGGGGTAGGGGGGCACGGCCTCGGGGACAGCGGCCGGGTGGTGCTGGTCAAGCCGCGGCGGGGACTGGGCATGGATCTTGCGGTAGACGTCCCCCAGCTCCGGCGCGGAGGCGTCCTCCTGCAGGCCGGGTCCCAGCAGGGAGGAGCGGGGAGAGGGCAGCTGCAGCTCGGAGTAGGCGCTCATGGAGCCGCGGGAGCTCCGCGAGCTCTGGCTGGAGATGCTGGAGCGGGGGCTCACCACGGTGGCGCCCGCCGCGACGCGGCCCTCGGGGCCGCAGAGGCTGGAGCGGGGACTGGCCAAGACGAAGCCAGCGCCGCTCGCAGCCTCCGGCTCGGCGCTGCTGCCCGGCGGGCCGTACCTAGAGTCCGAGTAGCTAGAGCGAGGGCTGGTGGTGCAGGAGTACTGGCTGGCTGTGCTGGAACGGGGGCTGGCGTGGCGCTGGTCGTAGCCCATGCTGATGCCACTGGTGCGGTTGCTGCTGGGCTTGCTGCCGCCAGCGCCGTCGTAACTGGTGAGACTGGCGCGGGGACTGGAGTGCTTGCTGGTGTCGCTGGCCGTGCTGGCGTAGCTGGAGCGGGGGCTGAGGGCGGCCCCGTCGTACTGCACCAGGCTGGCGCGGGGGCTGCCGTACTTCTCTTGGCCGGGTACCACCAGGCTGGACCGCGGGCTGGAGAACTTCTCGTAGGGTAGCGCGGCCGCGCCGCCCAGGCTGGAGCGCGGGCTGGAGAACTTGCCGTGCTCGGCGACGGGGCCCGGCGAGGAGGCGGCCAGGCTGGCTGCACCGTACCTGCCGTCGGGGCCGGAGCCGGGCACCCGCCCTCCGCCTTTGGCCACGTAGCCGCCCTCATAGGCACTGCCAGCGGCGTAGCGGTAGCCCTCGGCCGAGTAGCGCTTGCCCTTGTCGGCGAAGCCGCTGTAGCAGGGCAGCGCCACCTCCGAGCGGGTGCACAGCCCCTCCTCGCAGCACAGCGGCCCCGCGCCCGGCGGTGGGTCGGCGGCGCGGCCGTTGGCGGCGCGGAGCGGGACGCCCGGCGCGGCGGGCGGGTAGACTTTGCCGCAGGGGGCGGCGGTGGGGAAGGCTTCGGCGGGCGGCGGCGCGGCAGTGCCGTTCATCTTCCGGCCCCGCTGCTCTGCCGTCATGTGGGCGGCAATGACCCGCTTGGTCTCCTCCAGGTCGGGGTGCAGCACCATGTCCCGGCGGCCACCCCGGCCGTACGGACCCTCCGGGCAGGGTTCGTAGAGGGACAGATCCTCCATGAACTTGGTAGCCTTCAGTGCAATGTCCTCCACGTACTTCTCCATGCTCGGCCGGTGCCCGGCGGCGCGGCGGGGCAGGCACGGCGAACTCTGTGAAAGCACAGCCCGGAGCAGAGAAAGGGAAAAAAAAAAATAAAAACAAAACACTCCAGAAAGCACCACAAAACCAAAGAAAAAAAACACCCCAAAAGCAAGTCCCTTCCTGCGGTCCCGGCAGGGCAGTGCCGGCGACGCGGCTCCCTGGCCGGGAGGCTGCGAGGCGGCGGCCAGGCGAGGCGACAGTCACCTCAGCGGCATCCCCGGCTCGATACAGCCGGGCTCCCCGGCAGAGCGCGGCGAGCGAAGATGAGAACCCCTGTGTCACTTTCCAGCCTTAAATAAGTTGCTCGGTCCAGTCAATGGCGCGCTGCGCGGAGGAATTTGCTTTCGGCGGCTCCCTGCCCCCGCCGCCCCCGGCCGGCCGCCTCGCGGAGGGGCCGCGATCCGGTCGGCACCCCCGGGGCGGGGGGCGATAGGTGGCGGCCGGCACGGAGGGGCTTTGCGGCCCGGCGAGCGGAGCGCGGGACGCGGCGAGGCAGGGACTCCTTTGTGTGGGGCAGGAATGCGAGGAAGGAGACTGGGCGCTGCGTCCCGCTGGAATGTAGTTAATGCTGGAGCCAAACAATGATTTTCACCGAGTCAGGCTGGGAGAGGGCGTCTGCGGCGCTGCTCGCGGCTTCCTCTTCGCGCCGCCCGCTCTTCTCCGTGGCCGGCACCGGCCAAGACCCCTTGCCCAGGGCTGGCTGGCGGTGCCGCCGCGGGCCGGTGGGGCTGTCACCGGGAAGCCGAGGCTCGGCGCAGCGCACCTAGGGCGGCCGCGCACGGACGGGTCTGTCGGGGAGGCGGCCACTGGGGTCCCGCTTTCCCGGGGGGCTCCGCTGCCCTCGCCCCTCCACGGAACTTTCCGGCGGGTCCCTCGGAAAGGGGTACCCCCCTTCTATCCCCCGAGCTCGGCGTCGGGGGCTGCGGTTAGCGCCGTGCTGCCCGTGACTTACACGTGTGCGTAACCGCGGAGCAGGGCCGGTGACCCGCTCAGCACCTACGGTCCGCACCGCAGCTGATCGCCATTAGCAGTTAGGTAGCCTCCTCGTTTTCTTTTATAGGCAGTGCTGAGACATATGATAAACATATTGTGGCCTAAAGCAATCTATGAATTGACACGAGTTTAAGAAAGCAAGCTACTGTGTAACTTTTCAAGAGCTGCATCTGTTCTGGTAACAAGACCCAGCGCTGCTTGCCATTTACATCTGTACATACACAAAAAAGGCTGCCAGAAAATAACACCCCAAAACGGCTACTGAACGGAGAACTCCCCTACTAAACCAGCACCTTACAGTTAATTTTATTGCAACTAAGCTGAAATCCCTGACGATCATTGTGTTAATGGCAGAAATGCTGACAAAGCCCTAACAATGGGTACCTGAACAATGTTCTCACACTGCCAGGTGCTGGGCACCCTGAGAGGGGAGAAATGCGTTGCAGTATTGAGCTATAGCCATTGTGCCATGCCAAGAACATTTTATCCTGTTCCCATACCTAATTAAACATTAAAAGCAATTGTGTACTCAGAAATGTCCCCAGGTGTGGAGGGCAATTGACTGGCAATCTGTTTGTGTGGAGGGGTGGCAGGGGGGTGGAAATCCAACAAATAATATAAATACATAGAGCAAGACATGAAAAGCAAATCTGTTAGACATGGGAGAGGTAGTCACAGTGAATATGATCATCCGTGTGCCAATACAAACGATCTCGGGAGCCAAGTGTTCTTTTCTAATATATGTTCACATCTTTCATTACACTTTCTGCCAATCTCTTAAACAAGATGTTACTTGTGGGACAAGTTATATTTCACCTGTAGTCTGCAGGTGTGTGATGGCTGGGAGCACCTCTTGCAGCTTTGTGTCCTGGTGCATGCCATCCCTGCTCCAGCTAACACAGTGTAGACCCATGGACCAGCAGCAAAAGCTTCCCAGCAAATGTGCACAGCACAGAGCAGGATCAAAGCAGCAGTTCAAGTCTTATTCAAGCCTTGGGCTTTCTGGTAAAGCTGTCAGCGAAGACACAAATTGTGCTGCTAGCCACATGGCATAGACATGCACCCACCAAGATCAAAGAGAGGTTCCTTCCACAGAGCACATGGAAATTGCCATTAACTTGAGCCCTCCATCTACCCCACCTGGGACTCCGCATAGTGTTTGTTTGGGACAGTGGGTGTCTCATGAGCTGCTGCCTTCGTGAGTAGGAGCTCCTTCTTCAGACCTTCCTGGGGCCTGTGCTAGGATGCTCTATCCCGTTACAGACTTTGAACCTACCTGCTGCGATTTTTACAGGGTTGTCTTCCTGAGAAACTAGGGGAGGGTCATGGACAACCTGGGGACTTGGTCCATCAGATCACATATAAGGAAAAATTAATTTAAGTTTTTGTTTTGTTTTAAAAAGCTTTACAACATTAGATAACTTTATGATTTATCTAGAAGTGGGTAGGGCATATTGGGAGGCCCCTCTGGTATGCTCATGCATGGAAGCATTATGAGTGTCTGTCTTTACTGTAAGAACTGTAGAGCTGGTGCTGCATGAAGTCAGAAGTGTGAGCTGCAGCAGAAGCAACTTGTCCTGTAGCTCTACCCTTCTGAGCCTGAAATCTGGCCCTTTTTCCACCTTTTGAGGCAGCACAGTTCTATATTGCTTCCATTGCAAGCGAGTAGCAAGTTTCTGTGGTAGCAAGTCATTAAAGCATGTTGAGAATGAACTCCTGGGAAAATCAATCAGGAGACCAAGAGAATATGGGGAATATAAGGAAACACTTTTTTAGTATGCAATGTGAAGCAGATGATAAAAATCACTTATTTTTACTGTTGAGAGCTTATGCTCAATAAGAAAATCCTCAAAGCCAGGCCCAGATGAGCCTGGTTTAGCCCTGGGCCAGACTATCCCTGTGTTCCCACCTCAGCCCTGTCCCAGGGGTAATAAGACAGGCCCCCTTTTCACCGGTAAATTGTACTTCTATCATACACGTAACGAACATAACATTTATCCACACTATAGCCACAGATGCAGGACACATGGGTGAAATAAATATGCTTGCAGTGGTACATAGCACACTTGAGCACTGCTGCATTTCTCGCAGAGGACCATATGTGCTGGGCTGTGCAAACAAAAAGTGTGGAGTTGAAGCTGCTGTTGCTGTAATACGTACCCCTATCACTCTCCTAACTCTTACGTACTAGAAAACTCAAAAGTTACAGCTCAGCAATCCTGATGTGGTTTTCTTCTCACTTTATTCTAAATGCATTTGCTGAATTATAACAACCAGCACTAAAATGTATGTATTTCAAAAAGACTCACTTCCACAACCAAGAGCACAAGAGCTGTCATAGAGCGTTATAAAAGCTGAACCTAATTTCTTAATTTGGGGTGGCAGTCCTTATGCCTGATTTTAAGTTATATCAGTAAATCAGATATTAAGGAAAGCCAGCTGCTTCTGTTAAACTCCTTTGTCTGAGACTTAAGGGAGCAAAAAAGCCAGGTGGAGTTATTGATCTGTGAATACCAGCCGGCTGGGCCTCGCAGGCAGCACACTCCTGTTTCTCCTAATTGCCAGTGCCTTTAAGGAAGGGCTGCCCAAGCCAGTGGGCAGGGGGTCTGGTGGTTTGTTGGGGATTTGGTGTCTCTGAGTTGCAAATAGCTTAATGCCAAGAAAGCAGAGAACATGTCCATGTAAGAGTCCACCAGTGAAACTCTAGCCCTATTGAAGACAATGGCAGAAATCCCACTGGCTTGTACTGTGGTGTATGTTATATCAAATGTGGTTCTACTGACACATTGCAGGAGGGGAATGCTTTGTCTCACTTCATTAATTTAATGATTTGAAGCTATTCTACAGATTTGCTTACTGAACTGGATGCTACCTGAGTTTTTGCAGTTTTCCTCCTTGTCTCCAGCTTTAAAGAAATCAGTGAAATTATACCTTGAAGGCCAGAAGGTAAATAAGGCTTCTTATTACTCAGGGATTTACTGTTCTGGTTTCCAGTTTTAAAGCTGATTGGTTTCTTGGTGAGGAATATAGTGATTGTCCTTTTTCTCTGGCCTTTTTCAAGTTTAATTAAAAAAAAACCCTCAACAAAGCAAACCACCAAAAATCTTACGAATTTCATACAAAAATTATGCTGAGGAATATTTTTGTTTAGGATGGGGGGACTGAAGGTTTAGTTTTATTGGAAGTGATAGTGGTCTTGTATTTTCCATTGCTTTGTTTTGCACGCTTGGGTCCTTTGTTAATTTGTGTTGTGATAACTTTAAGCAAGCTTTTTGGAATGTAAAGTTTGCATATTAATATGTACTTGGACTTAGGCGATTTGTTTGTAAATCACCTTGTTCTGCCATGTTTTTAAATATACTCATTTACAGTCGATTTAAAGCTGGAATTTTTGACTGCGTTTTAGGGCACCATCTCCTGGTAGACAGAGCACATTGTATTTTGAATGACTGCGAGGCACAACTATTTAAAGTATTTTTGACTAACACCACTCTGCAGGCGTACAGGTCATTTCTCATTCTAAATCTGCAATAAAACACTATTTAACATTTTTTACATTCTTCTTATTCATTGCAAGTGCAGCTATTCACTGTGCTGCACAAATTTAACTTCGGACAGGCCTCTGTGAAATTCCAGTCACAACAGGCGCTTTGTGGACCTGCTAGGTTAGACAGACAACATATGTCCAAGCACTTACAACTAATACACCATTTATGTATCGTATTTCTTTTATAGTTTCATCTTCTTTTACATATTTCAGACAATAGCGCTTCTGGCTAAAGCCCTTTATTGGCTCGTACTTGGAGACTGCAGATGGCCTTAGTCATGCTTCCTTGCAGTCACAGGACATAATCCCTGTATATTCAAACACAAAGTTAGCTTAACAGCAGCCACTACATTTGCATAAATACATAAGTCAGCTCAATTAGCAGTGTACCTACTTAGTACTTTTAAGGAGGTCATAGGTTAATACAGCTTCTTAATTCAGGGATTTAGGGCTCTAAAGAGCTAAAATGTATCTTGACACATTAGCACGTTAGAAGAAAGCCCTCATTATGATACTGCAAACCATCATCTGGCAAAGAAATCAGATAGCATTAGTGCATTTAATAAAAACCAGAAACACTGTGTGAGGGTCAGACTGCTATACACATGCTTCCCTATTCTTCGCTGGTGAAAAGCATCAGATTAACTGTATGCATCTCATCATAGCCATTCAAGAAACAAGGCAAGCTACGAGCACTTACCTCCTGACCTGGCAATACAACGCACTTCAGCTGCGATGAGAAGGATCATTTCAGAAGAAAGAGGACATTGGTTTGTGGACAACACCAGTTACATTTACATTTAATGGTATTTTCCATATAAAATGGTATTACAGATATAACACTTGCTAACTGAAAACAATGAAGACATTTGCAAAAAGTATAGAGCTGTTTCATAAGCATTGGAACTAATGAAGGATGGTCTCCTACAGGTTTGTGTTCTACATGCTCTGCATTCTCCTGCTTGTAACTTCCTCTCCAAAACCCCAGTAATGCTGCAGTTCTATCACACCCTTTGTCTCACAGAGCTGTTCCACTGCTACAGACTTACCCTAGTCTTCAGCCACTATAAGCAGTACCTCCAGGTTCCTCCCAC